AAATGATAAAGCATTGAATATGGTTTAGAGATGTGGAATAATTGACCTAAAAACTAATCAAAAAAAAAAAAAAATTAAAAAAAGTTTTGATGAATTCTGAAAAATAAACAAATAATTTGATAAGTCAATTTCATCAATTTTTTTTTATGAAAAATGTAAAAATAAAAAAGCGAAGGAATCGAATAATGAAGTAATTAAATTATAAATTAATTTTTATAACTGTTTCTTACCAAGTAAATCATACAGAAATTTAATTTAATTATATAATTGAATATTATAACGATGAATTGAAATTTTTAAGAATTGAAAATTGATAAATTAATAAATAACTCTTAAAGATAAATAAATGTAAATTTTCAATGATAATAAATTTGCTCGAATGAAATTATCAAATTTTGGAAAAAAAAATAATTAATTATATGAAAAAAATAATAATAATTAATTCATTTCATATAGTTTCATTGTTAACAAATTTCCATTTGTATAGTTCAATCTTTCATTTCATAGTACTTTGCTTATTAAAATAAATTTTTCTAAAAAAAAAGAAAAAATTAAAATTAAAAAAAAAAATTGAAATAAAATAAAAAAATGAAATAAACAAAATTTGTCTAAAAAAAAATCTAAAAATGAGAATTATCTAAAAAAAATGAGTAAATAATAAATGAAATTCATTCATAAATTGTGTAAATTTTTTTTTTGTTTGAAATAACTTTTCTTTTTCCTTTTTTTTTATGAAACACTAAAAAATGAATCATTTTAAATTGTTAAAAGTAAGAAAATTAATGAAATTAAATTAATCAAAATTTGATGAATCAACAATGTATGTTTATTAATGTTAGTAAAACATAAATTTTAAAAAAAAAAAAGGAAAAAATCATACTAAAATATAGGAATATCATTTTTTTTACATTTTATTCGTTTTACTTTAAATTATTTTTTTTTTGTTTTATTTTAATTCATACTATTAATTTAATTAAATAATTTTAAAAAATAAAAATGAAATGTATCAGATGTAAACATTTCTAAAAATTAACTTATTTCTCAAATTAAAAAACATTTTTTTCTGCTTTTCTTTTTCTAAAAAAAAAAAGACTACAATAAAAAATTATTTTAATCATTGAAAATGAGTAAATTTTTTCTTTAAATGAATTTTTCTTTTTAATTTGAATAAAAAATTAAACAAATTGTTAAAAATTTAAAACTTTTTTTTTTTAAATTTTTACAATAACAAAAAATATTGAAAATACGATTTTAGTATGAAACTAAAAATGATTTCATTTCAATTTTAAACGGCTGTTCATTTTATCTTTTTCCGAAAGAAGAAAAAAAAAAAAGGGAAATAATTTTAAGTTGAAATAGGATGAAGATGACAATCAAAGAGGACAGTTGCTTAAATGTATTTCTTTTTTAAATTTTCTTTTCTTTTCTTTTTTTTTTAAAAAAAAAAAAAGTTACTAAAAAGCATCAAAGGAATAGTACCGCAATTTAAAAGTAAATAATTGTAATAATACAATTATTTAGAGTAAATGTAAATGAAATTAATGATTGATGAAAATGAAAGGAAAAAAAAAATGTAAATTGTTGGAATGAATTGTTTGACAAATTTGTTAAAATAAAATAAATTTGAAATTGCGGGTAATCTTAGTGGTTGATTAGTAGTAATATTTGTGATAAGGCAAAATGATATTAATTCATTCATCTATGATAACAAAATAAACAAAATATTAATTAATATTAACAAAAAATATTTTCATTTTCGTTTTTTTTTTAATTCTGTATAATATTTAATTGAATTAGAATTTAATTTAATAAATAAACAAAAAAAAACGAAATTCAATGGTAATGTGAAAAAGGTTTTATTAATATTTAATTGAATTAGAATTTAATTTAAATAATTTAAAAAAACGAAATTCAATAGTAATATGAAAAAAGTTTTATTAATAAAATATTTTCTTTTTAGTTTTAATCAACCACTAAGATAATATTTAATTGAATTAGAATTTAATTTAATAATTTAAAAAAAAAAAAACAAAATTCAATAGTAATGTGAAAAAAGTTTATTCATTAATTAATTTTTACAACAATTTTATGCTTTTTTGTTTAATATATTCTTTTTTCTTCAAAAAAAAAATATATATATGTAAGATTAATACAGTATTGCCCGTATAAAAATATGAGAGAAAAAGAAAAATAAACAAATAAACAAAACAAAACAAATTTGAAATTTTTTAAATTCACATAAATTTTTATAAATTTTAGGAAACAGAAACAATTCATTGTGATTTTTTTTTTTGATTTAAGTGCAAAAAATTGTTTTCTTTTTTTCATTATTGATAATAAAATTTTGAAAATTATAATTATATACATAATTTTTTTTTCAAATTTACCTACAATTTACTTTTAATTTTTAAATTACACTTGAAATTATCAATTTATTATTTGTACAAAAGTAAAATTTTATTAAAATAAAATTAAAACAAAATGATATATCAATAATCTATCAATGTTGTTGCTTCTTCATATCCAATAAAAGTTCACTGAGCGGTCGAAATGAAGGTACTGAATCAGTGCTAATCAAATTAGCCTAGAATTAAGTATTAGATTAGCCTGGAATTAAATATTTGATTAGCCTAGAAATACTTTTTTAATTTTAATTCATTATTATTCTAATATATTTATCAAAGAAATTTAAAAAGCTAACATTAAATGATGAAATATTAATTGAATTATTTGATGGGAAATATGCATTCATCCGGTTTGCCGGACTTAAAATTTCATCAACTTTAGCATAAATTAATTCACTAATTTCCGGATCGTTGTTTGCATCATTTTTGTAATCCGTAAAAAACTCTCTGGATGTGCCTTGATTTGATTCAAAATACTGCAAAACGGTGAAAAATGAAAATTAGAATATTTAAATTTGATTTAAACAAATGAACTAGTTTTTATCATTTTTGCTTATCAATTTGAATTATAATTTTGATAAGAATATGAATCAGCCGTAAACATATTTCTTAAATTTTTAACCGATAGCAATGAATAATTTACTTTATTTGGTGTTACACCAACTTGATTAAGATAATCAGTAACTGAACTTGTCACTGATATCTCATCCGGATCAATACCGGAATCAGGCATTGAATATGTGATGGAATAATTTCCCATTTGTGTTTCTATTGGTCTGAAGAAAATATATTTAAATTGAAATTAATTCTTCATAATTTTAAATTTTATAACAATTTTAAAACAATTTTAAATTTTAAACATTGTAAGATGTAAATTTATTTCATATTTTAGTTTTTTTTTTTTTTTTTTTTTTTTTGTATTTCAAAATTTTTTTCATCAAAAGTAAAACTTACGGTTTATATAGAATTTTTGTAGTATTATTGTTGAGATGCGTAGAAGTTATGGAAGAATTCTGTAAACGCAAAAACGTGAATAAACGTTTACTTTAGAGTAAATGATAAATAGTACTAAGTAAAGTGAAAAATTGAAAAATATTGGAGTAAAAAGTAATACCTTAAATTTGGTATATGATGAAGATGGAAGTGGAGCAATTTGTGTTTCATTTTGAAAACGTGGCGATGAGTCATTCATATTTCTTATCACCGTAAAATTACCTTTGTTAGTATTATATACCTGTAAAATGTTTAAAAATTGGAAAAAATTTAAGTTTTATAAAAAACAAAAACAAAAAATCTTTTAAGCAAATACTTCTTTATGAATTTAATCAGAATTAATTAATTAAGCATTGTTTATTAATGAATTTTACTACAACTACACTCTCATAAGACTTTCTCATTTCATTTTATCATTTTGTCTAATTATTAATTCGACAAATTTTAATTAAATTTATTCAGTTTATTCTTCTTAATCATTTGTAAAATAATAAAATAAGAAATTTTATACAAGTTTCATAGCATATTTTACCTATAAAATCTCTAAAAAACTAAACAAAAAGTAAGAATCAAAAATTTTTTATCAAAAAATTTCACTTAAATTGTTTTCTTACCAAATTATTCGCTCAATTATAATAGAATTTAAAAAAGTTTTCCTTCTTTTTTTTTTCTTTAAAAAAAAAAGAGAAAATTTATTTACCATTTTTTTTGATTTTGTACGATTTTTTATTCTCATATTGATGACCAATGCAATGAGAGTAATTAGTAGGACAAAAAGTAATAATAATGAGCCAATGGTCAAACTTTGGGTCATTGTTAAAGTTTTTCTCGTTGAAAATACATCACGCGGTAAAAATTCACCAATCTGAAAAGTAATTTATTTTATATTCGATTGCATTTTTTATTACTTTCAAATTTACTTAATTTAAAGTAAAAGAGTAAAAAGAAAAAAATTGTCATAATGTAAATTTTTATAAATTTCAACAAGAAAAAAATTTAATATTGAAAAAAAAAAATTTTTTTTCTTTAATTTTTTTAAGTAATAAAATTTTTTAAAAAGTCCACCTGAAGAATTACTTTAGTACGAGAAGTTTGTTTTGCACTAGAACTAGCAATTACGATGAATTCATCATTTGTAATGTTAGTATTTGCTCTAAAATTTATTCAATTATTTCAATCATCAAAAATTTTTAACTCATATTATCAAATGTTTCTTATGCTAATACATTGGCAAAATTAGTAATTTAGAAAATTTTATGAATCAAAAAATTTATGAAAATTATAAATTTTAAAAATTGATAAAGAATATATTGAAAAATTGTAATTATCTTTTGTCATCAGTACCTGTGTGGAAATTGATGTGACAATATAATTTGTCCTGTATTTGAATCGATACTTAAATATTGCGATGCACTTCCCTGTATTTCATATCGGATAATACCATCTATACCCGAATCATGATCTATTGCTGATACAACGCCAACATATTCGCCAATTTGTAAATTTCTCGAAATCTAATATAGCTTTGATGTTGCCGAAATTTTATTAAAAATGTAAATTTTTTAAATATTTACTTGTTTCAGGTGCTTTTTTTTCAAAATTTACTATCTATTCAGTGTACATACTTTAAGCTTCATTTTAAGTTTTTTTTTTTTTTTTTTTGCTATTTCTAAATCAATGATTTTATTTTTGATTTTTTTTTTTTCATTTTATTTCATTTTATTTTTTGGAAAGAAATATATACTACTATAATTTAACAACATCAGTTGGAAATGAATACGAGAAGAATTAATTTTTGTAAATTATCTTTGGAATTGATAAATGATAAAGTTAAATTTGGAATTAGACAGATAAAATTAAATTTTAAATGCAACATTTAATAAATAGATTATAAATAATGGCTCACCTGAAAGATATAATTAGTTTTTGTGAAAAGTGGTGGATATTCATCAATGCCAAGAACTCGGATCCGAACTGATACCATCGCTGATCGATTTTGATTATCATGAACTTTCAGGATGAATTCATACTTTGTTTGCATTTCAAAATCTAATTTTTTGCTAAGTATTATATGGCCAGTACTTTTGTTGCATACAAATGACTAAAATAATGACATATAATTAAGTAATTATAAAAAAAACGAAGTAAAATTTCAGATAAATAATGAAAAAAAAATGATTGTTTCAAAAAAAAAAATATATAAATAAATAAAAATCGTACTTTTTGATTTATAAATTTACTGAAAATAATTTTGTTCAAAGAATAAAATAAATTTGATAAATTTTTTTTTTTTTTTTGGTAATTTAAGTACAAAAGTAGTTACCTCATTGGTATCTGTTATTGTATAAATCCAATTATCACCAGGTAAGCCTAATTTATTGACAGCTTTTGAATGTAATACAATACTTCCTCTTGGTAAATTTTCAAATATACTTCTTTCGTATTGTGAAACGATAAAAAATGGAGCAGTAGCTGATGAAAAATTAGAATTAAAATTAATTCGAACTGAAGTCCAATTTAATCGACTTGGTATGCCATTATCAATAGCAGCAATTAATAAATTATCTAAAGTATCATTGAAATTCATTTCTTCAATGTCAATATTTTTCTCGAGATATAACACTCCCGAAGAGCTATTCAAATTGAATATTCCATAATTATTTCCAGATAACACTTGATAAGAAATACGTCCATTATCATCGCTATCATTATCAACAGCCACAAATCTGACAATATTTTATAATAATTTCATTTGTTCAATTTGTTATATAATTGTACTTAAAATAACTAAAATTTATATCTTATCATTGCTAACATTTTATATCAAAATTACTCCACATCATTTTTTATAAAAAATTGAAACAATAAAATTAAAATTGCACTTCCTAATGATAAACTATTTGTGATGTTTGTAAATATAACATCTGTTTATGATTATAAATAGTTGCAATTAAATGTAAATGAGTGAAACATTATCAATGAATCAAATTAATTAGTGTTTACTATTCATAAAATATATATTTTGCAAAGTTTTTATCTTTTATCGTTTTTTCTTTCACAAAGTAATAACATACATTATTTAATACATATTATGATCACATTGATTTAACCGTATGCTTAGTGTTATAATATTGTCATGATAAATGATATCATGGTACTACGGTTTTATCAGTACGGTAATTACGGTAATATCTGACATTGTGATTTAACCGTGATACGTATACGTAGTATTATCATGTTGCTATTATCACACCGCCATGATACATATTATGATATAACGGTGATATCTGACATTACGATTAAACCGTATACGTAGTATTATCACGTTGTCATAACACATGATATTGTGGGATTACGGTAATATTTGACATTATGATTTAACCGTATACGTGGCATTAACATGTCGCCAGAATAAATGATGTTATAGTAGTATAATCATATCATCGATATTATGGTATTATTTGATATTACGATTTAACGGTATACGTGATATTATCACTTTACCATAATACATGATATTATGGTATTACGGTAATATCTGACATTATGATTCAACCGTATACTGCTGTTACAGTAGTACGTAATGTTAATGTTATGGTATTACAGTGATGCGTGAACTCGTATGCTTAGATTTCTGTAAAAGCATTAATCGAACAAATTTATCACCAAACTTTCCGATATCTAAATAAAAGTAAAAGTTACGTATGACAGACATACCTTCCCAAAACTTCATTTATTATCATTCCTTCACTGATTGTTATTTCATCCATTTTTTCAATAAAATATGGCGCATTATCATTTAAGTCTATCACTTTCACGTATACTTTAACGGATGAATTGTACGTTGCATATGGCGACGATGCTTCAACCTAAAAATTACTTCACGTGATATTTTCATGATGTAAGTTTTACACGTAAACTTTTCACTTCATCATTTTTTAATAATCAAGCATCTAACAAATAGCACTAACCAAGAATTCATAGTCACTCTTAAATTCAGCATCAACTGGATATTTCAGAAAAATTGAACCATCACGGAAGATACCAAAAATATTGGAAAATTCAAAATTTTGAATTCGCAGTGATGTGCTTACTGGTAATTCGTCCATTAAAGTTACTTTACCAAATTCAATATACGGATGTGTGTTTTCTGGTATCGTAAAACTGGAAGTTAAGTTAATTTAAATTATTCTATGATTGAAAACAGATTGAAATATGGTCTTTGTTGCATTTGCAAATGTTAAATTGTTATTTTTACATAAATGGTGAAAGGAATTTGAAAACGGAAAGCTTTTCTTGAAATATTTCAGTGCCTAATAATTTCTGGCTAGAATTAGCATAAAATTATTCAAAAGTCAAACTTGAATGATTCATTAGTGAATTGTATGGGTTTTCGATTGTAATCGTCAATTCCAACATTAATTTGAACAGCAACAGCAGAATTTTGCACTGGTTTACCTTGATCAAATGCATGAATCATTAGATAGTATGTTGATTGATCTTCTAATTTACCATTTATCAATAGATCACCTGAAATTTTATTTGATCTGAGCAATAAATCAATGTTAAATCATCAGATGCTAAAGATGAATTAGCTAGATAAACCATTTGAAATTTCATTTCGAATATATAAAAATTATTTCTTATACAACAATAATCGTACCTGATTCAGGATTAATCCTGAAATATTTCTGGTTATCTAGAGCTAATTCATAGCGAATTGTTCCAGCAAGTCCTGTATCCGGATCACTTGCATGTATTTTAGCAATTACCGAATCTAATTCAACATTTTTTACAATATTAATTAGATAAAATTGTTGTTCAAATTGTGGTGCATTATCATTAACATCCACCACAATTATTCGTAACGTAGCACTTGAAGTATTATCACCGTCTGTTACCTGTAAAAAAGGTTTCAATTAAAATTGAATAATGTAAAATTAAATTTTCATAACTATATCACATTGAATGTTATTATTTTAGTGCAATAAACATTTAATTTGATAATACATCTATCTTAAGTTAATAATTAACAATTATTTTTAATTATAATAAGTGATACCTGAATATGAACTATATGCTCCTTATCACTTTCATAATCCAAATTTTGAATTAGAAATATTTTTCCAGTAAATGGATCAATCTCGAATAGATCATTTGATGATAATAAACTATATTCCAGTTGTGTATCAATGTCAACATCTGTCGCTACTACTGTTCCTATCAATGTACCATACGTTGCTGCTAGAAATTCAATTCTTTTGAAAAAAAAATTTTTAATTTGAAATGATAATTTGAATTTTTTTTACAAATGAACAAAAATATTATCTTGGCTAATTTTAATTATTTAAAGTATAATACTTTAACATACTTTTTATTAAGTATCATGCAATAGAGAGCAAATTTTTGTAGCATAAAAAATTAGTAGATAAAAATTAACTTTTGAAATTTCTGAAAATTTCCATTTCATTCTACTATTAATTAAATAAAAAATAAATAAAAGAAAAAAAGGAAATGCAAAATTTTATAGAAAAAAAAGAAAAAAAGAAGTTAAAACAATGACTAACATTCAAGTACTTTCACATCTTTTAGCATTGGAAATGATGGAACATTATCGTTTGTATTGATTACTAAATACAATCAATTTTTAAAATTAATTAATGAATTTAAAAAAAAATTTTGAATAATTCATAGAAATATTTGAAAATATTCTGGAAAAATTTTTAATTTGAAATGATAATTTGAATTTTTTTACGAATGAATAAAAATATTATTATATTGGCTAATTTCAATTTTTCATTTATTCTTTTCAATTCATTGACTATCATTGTATGTTTGACTAACATTTATTATTATCAAAATTTTAAAATTATTTTATGCTAATAATGCATATAAAATAATAACTAATATGTAAAACTCAATAATAATAATACATAAAATAAAATAATCTAACATAAATTTTCTAATATATTTATTTAAATAAGAAAGAATTAATTTAATAGCAATAATTTTTAATTTAAAATAAAATTTAAAGAAAAAAAAAAGGGAAGAAACCTCTTATATGTATGTTTGTTTCAGGTATTTTCACAATTTCATTACTCGTTCCGATCACTTTCAAAGTATAAATATTTTGAATTTCATAGTCTAATTGTTGAGTGGTTATTATACGTCCGTTATCATCGATATCAAATGCTCTATCCATATTACCACTGATAATGCTATATGCTAATGGTGCATCTTCTGTTAAACGATCTGAGCTACGAATCTAAATAATTTTCAACAAAAAAAAATTTCTTTTTTTTTTTCTTCTTGTAAATTATTTATTTGTAATTATATTTAAGCAATTAATTTTTGTAATTATTATTTATGATTATTATAAAATTTTAAAAATAAATTATTGAAAATTTATGCATGTATACATATGATATGTTATTATTATATATTATCAACAATTTATTTAGATACAAAATGAGAAAAGAAAGGAAATCTTTAAAGTTTTATTTCAAAAAGAAAAAAATAAAAGAAAGATGAAAAAAAAAAGAAATAAAATTTTGATTAATCTAAATTGCTTATTTTTCAATGTATCAAACTTACCTTTTTTTTTTGCAAAAATTGATTGAAATGATATTGTTAATCTGATTTTTTTCATATAAACTACATTTTTTTTTTAAATTCTATTTTTTTTTTTTTTGTGATAAAGTGATAATTTGATTTATAGCAAATACCTGAAGCACAAATTGTCCACGTTGTTCACCTTCATTAATAAAACCAAAATAATGTTCACTTAAAAATTGTGGTTCGTCTAATTTGATCATCGATTTAGATCGAATTAAATGAAGTTTAATGTTTAATTCTGATGATAATACTCGTGAAATACCTTGATCTTCTGCTTTAACTTTAATTGTATATTCATTCTGTGAAGTTGGATAATCTCTAAAATAAAGCAAATAATAAATTATTTCATTCTTACATTCATTCTCTTTGTTAATTCTCAAATTATCAATTTATCTTCTCTTATCATAAAAATTTAATAAATTGAAATATTTTTTTTTATTAAAAAAAAAAAAAAAAAACCTAGCAAAAATAATTTCGCCGGTATTAGCACGAATATCCAACAAACCACTAGCATCTTCAATAATGCTAAATAATATTTTACCACTTGAACCTTCATCATCATCTGTTGCTGATAGTCTTAAATGAAAAAAAAAAAAAAAATTTGCTTTTTTTGAACAAAGTATTTAAATATAAAAAAATTTTTCAAAAAAAAAAAAAATGCAAAAAACAAAAAATTTGTTTGTTTTCCTTTTGAATTATTTGAGAGATATTTTGTTTGATTAAAAAAAAACAAAAACAAAGTTATTAAATTAGGAATTATTCACATTTAAAAATTATTTCTTTTCAAAATTTTTTAGCAAATAGAATAACTCTCTCTCTCTCTCTCTCTCTCTGTCACTGTCATTTACCTTCCCAATATATCACCAACTCGTTTATTATCATCAATTTCTATCAATGTCGGATTATTATCATTAAAAACAGGTACATTATCGTTTTCATCCGTTACTGTAATCCGTAATGTACAAGTATCCTGAAAAAAAAAAACGAAAAACAATAATAAACTTAGAGAATAATTTAAATTTTTTGAAATTTAATTTAATCGCCTTTTTTTTTTTTTTAACAATATATAACTTACAGCACGATTTGGAATGCCTTGATCTTCAACAGTGATCACGAGAAAATATTGTGATTGTTGTTCACGATCCAATTCACGACATGATAGTAATCCGGTTGTAGAGTTGATGAAAAAAGCCGAATTTTCATTTCCAGCTAATTAATCAAGAAAATGATAATTAAGATAATAAAAAAATGCATTATTTAATATTGAAAAATTTTGTTCTCTTTTTTAATCGTTTCATTTGGATAATTTAAAATATATCTGTGATTTATTAAATTTGAATAATTTAAAATATATCTGTGAATTATTAAATTCGAATAATTTAAAATATATCTGTGATTTATTAAATTTGAATAATTTAAAATATATCTGTGAATTATTAAATTTGAATAATTTAAAATATATCTGTGAATTATTAAATTTGAATAATTTAAAATATATCTGTGATTTATTAAATTCGAATAATTTAAAATATATCAGTGATTTATTAAATTCGAATAATTTAAAATATATCTGTGAATTATTAAATTTGAATAATTTAAAATATATCTGTGAATTATTAAATTCGAATAATTTAAAATATATCTATGATTTATTAAATTCGAATAATTTAAAATATATCTGTGATTTATTAAATTCGAATAATTTAAAATATATCTGTGATTTATTAAATTCGAATAATTTAAAATATATCTGTGATTTATTAAATTCGAATAATTTAAAATATATCTGTGATTTATTAAATTCGAATAATTTAAAATATATCTGTGATTTATTAAATTCGAATAATTTAAAATATATCTGTGATTTATTAAATTCGAATAATTTAAAATATATCTGTGATTTATTAAATTCGAATAATTTAAAATATATCTGTGATTTATTAAATTCGAATAATTTAAAATATATTCAGGAAAATAGATTTAGAATTGATGTTAAAAAATATTTGCTCATATCTTTTGTAAATTTCAAGAAATGAATTATGGTTTTTTTTTTTTAAAGTATATTTTAAAATTAATAAATAATTAAATTAAATTAATCAGATACTCACCGACTATTTTGTAAAAAATTTTATTATCACTGCTAACATCTTCATCCCATGCATAAATACGTGTGAGATGTTTTGCAGCAACGTTTTCACGTATTGTTAAATTACCACAATTTGATGACGTGATTCGTGGCGGATATTGATTAGTGCCAATTACGCTTAGATGAACAAATGTCCAATCAATCAATTTTTCTCCTCCTAATGCTATTACTAAAAAAAAAAAAAAAAAACTTTGTTTTTGAATTTGATAAATTTTTGAAAAAGTTAAAAAGAAATATATTTAATTTTTTTGAAATGAAACAAGAAATCATTTTTTTTTGAAATTTTTATTCTAAAAATAATTTAATCATCCTAAAAGATGTGTTATCACTTTAGTCATTTCACTTCTGCGTGTGAATAATTCAAACTAAAATTTTTTTTTTATTAAAAATTTATTAAAATTTTTATTATTTTATTTTATTAAAAAATTTCAAAATAAAAAAAAAAGAAACAAAAAGAAAAATTTTTCAAAAAATTTCAAACTCATACCAAGCCAATCATACATTCCAGGTGTAACTGCCTTTAATATTATCAATTTTCCATCATCTGATAATTGTAAAATATCATTTTCCGAAACAAAATATGGAAACAATTTCATCTGTGGCCATCCATTTCCTAATATTTATTTATATTATATTAATAAATAATAAATTTAAATAATAAAATTATGCCATCTCTTTGAATTATTAAATAATTAAAAATAATTATTAAATGACAATTTAATTATTTAATTTATATTATTATCAAATAAATTATCGTATGATTACTCATAAATATTACAAATTATTTGTTTAATTTTCTTCCACCTAAAATTAATTTCTAATTTTTTTTTTTTTTGTATAGCAATAATACATACTATTTGTAAAAAAATCATATAGAACAGTTCCGGGTGTTGCGCTACTATTCATGCTAATGAAATATTTCCGTTGCGGAAAAAATTTCCATTGTTGACGTCCTGAATCAAATTTAACAGTGATATCCTTTTCCGCATATCTCGACGGAACGCCATTATCGCTTGCGCGTATGCGTATGCGTCGTTCATTGTTGAAACGATGTTTAAGAATTAAAGCACCTGTGATAGTATATTTAAATTAATCACTAATTATAAATGTTATAAAATTTAATTATCATTTTTCAATTTAAATATTATTTTGAAATTGAATAAACTCAATTAAATTATTAAATTTATTTAGGAAATAACTAGTGACATCTATATATAATATCTAAATAATAATTAAATTAATAATCAGTTTCATTTCTTCTCTTTTAATTTTTTTTTCAAAATGTTATTTTATAATGCTTCTTTTAATGTAAAAACAATTTAAATGATATAAAAAAAAATAAATAAGAAATACCAGTATTGGAATCAATACTGAATGCATTATCAGTATTTCCATCGATAAGCGCATATGTGACTTTACCATTACCGCCTGCATCATCATCAATAGCAACAATATGATGGATAATATCATCATTAACAAAATTATCATCAATCGTTATCTTTTGTGAACTGAAACGAATGAAATTATTATTTTAAATGAATATCTAAAATTTAGAAACAAAAAAAAAAGTTAAATTTAGTAAAATTAAAAAATGAAACTTATAAAAGTTATCCGAAATTTTTGGTTCCATGAAAATAACGAAGGAAAAATTATCTTCGATAATGTTTATTTTGTTTAAAAAAAAATCTCTTAAATTAAATACGACTAATTAAATTAGAAGAAACCTTAGAAATTGTGGTTGATGATCATTGATATCTTCAACATTGATAAAAACAACACAATGTGAACGTCTTATCACATCGCTGTTACTATTTTCTGCTTCAACGACCAGAAACAATGATAAATCCTAGAATTAATAAACAATTTTCCTTTTAAAAAAAGTTTGATTTAGTAAAATTAAAAATAATTAATTTCAAAATTTTGATTAAACTTAAATTAATTATATTTTAATTTTTTTTTTGCAATTTTTTTTTTTTGTTTATCATCATTATTCTATTTGTTTCATCTATTATCTATCTAAAATCTTACAAATTATTTTTTTAATTTTTCTAATTTGAATTTTTCAAAAATTATTATCAAAGAATCAGAGGAAAAAAATCAATAATATTTTAGGTTAGTATTTGATCAATTTAATTTAATTTAATTAACCTTTTCCCAATGTAATGAACGAATGAGCAATATTTCAGCAGTATCCGGATCAATTGAAAATAATCCGGTTGAACTTTGAACTATTGAATAGCTCAATTGTCCGTCATCACCATCACTCGTATCCTCAGCAGATACTTTTCCAATTATTGAACCTAAATTTAATTCAAAATTATATATCGTTGAAATTAATTAAAAAATTTATCCAAATTAATTAAACATTTAGATTTTTATTCTATTTCTATAATAAAAATTAATATATTCCATTAAATTTCATTGTTTTCATTTCAACAATAATAATTTTTTTCATTCCTACAAAAAAAACAAACAAACAAAGGAAAGAAAAAAAAATTGTTTGAAAAGAAAAAATTTTTGTTAATTTTTTGCATCTAATTGAATGTTTTTTTTTCAAAAATTTTAGCTTTAATACCTTTAACTTTAACAACTTTTACCTGTTGGCTCATTTTCTTTAATTGTTAAAAAACGTGGACAATTCAAAAATTGAGGCCAATGAATATTTGTTGGCTCAATTTCAATGTAAATATTTTGTTGTTCAATTTGTTTATAATTTAATGAATGCCATTTTTCCACATTAAGAAGATAACTTTTTTGATGAAACCAACGAATATTTGTTGCCAAATATAAGGTTGATGTTATACTATCCAGGTAAAATGCATCTGTCTAAATTTTAATTAAATATTTAAATTTGAATTACATTGTTTTCACTTCAAACAATAATAATTTTTCATTCATACAAAACGAAAAGCAAAAAAAAAAATTGTTTTTTTTTTTTAAAATTGTTTAAATTTATATAAATAAATGTAAAAAAAAAAAACATTTACCTCATTTTTTAAATGCCATATTGTCGTATTATTATTCGTTTCATTACTTAATGTTACTAATTTTGAACCAACTGATATAGTATTTGGTATTCTAAAATTTATTATCATTTATCTTAGCAGTTAAAACTTATCATTTATTTATTATCATCTATCTTAACAGTTAAAACTTATCATTTATTTATTATCAATTGTCTTAACAGTTAAAACTTATCATTTATTTATTTATAAGTTAAAAAAAAATTTTCTTTTTTAATAAAAAACTAAAAAATTATGCAGAAACATTTTTTGACAGATCAATTATGAGCCTAAATTGATTGATGAGAATATAAAACACTTAACCTTATCACAGTTGTCTTATCATCTCGATGTGACAATCCTAATTTTGATATACGAATGATAAATACAATTTGTTGTTGATGATTATCATTATCAAATGCTATCACTGATAATGTTTGACTATCATTGATTGTGGTTTTATTGAAATATGCAGAAGTACGAATTGTATTATTCCAAATTTCAAAATTATTTGAAATATCTAAAAAATAATAATGAAATCAGTCATTTGAAATTTATCAAATTTTATTCCAAAATTTTTTATTTCTTTTTTTTTTTTTAAAAAAATCGAAAAAAAAAGACTAAAGAATATAATAAAAGTGTTAATTTTTTTTTTGCAATATTCTAACTGGTAATTTTTATATTTTTTTTGTGAAATTTAAATTAAAATTTAAATTGAAATTTCTACCGCTCAATTTAATTTCCCATTTTGCAACATCTGTTGCATTCAATATTTTTAACAAGCAATTCGATATGCATTTTTCATCAATTCTGCAAAATTTTTAATAAATATTAATTGGAATTATTTTTTTATTTTTTAAAAAAAAAAAATGAAAAGTAAAGTAAACAATTATACTTTTATAATATTAAAGTAATCTACGATAACTCAAATCTAATTTATATAAATTTGCATAAAATTTAGTGATAGTTTAATTTAACAATCATATAAATAGCACTATACCATATTCTGTCATAATAGTGTAAAAATAAAATTTTATACTTAGTTAATTAATTAACTAATAAACTGTCATATAAAATTTTTAAGTAAAATTCAAAAGTTGATAAATTAATCAATAAAAAAAATTGATAATTTTAAATTAATAATAAATTTATTACCTAATAATACGATCTATTGGTTCCAACAATTTAACTTTAGAATTTAATTTTCCAATAATAATACTAATTGGACAAATAGTTGATCGTGCTTGCATATCACCGTTTCGATCAAAAATTATCACTGATAAGCGACTTTCTTTTCTGTGATCTTTCGTCGTAATTTTTCTTTTCATAAATAATTCACCTATAATACTAATGAAAATTTTAATTTTATATAAAGTAAATAAATAACTTTTTGTTATCATAAATGATTATCACTTATCAGAAAAAGTTCTGAAATAGCAAAAACAGCAAAAAAAAAAAGCAAATATTGTTACAAAAGTATTATCTTTTCCTATTTAAATTTAATTATTAAAAGAAAAATTTGTCCATTCATTAATTTTATTTTTAGTAAAATTTAATACTTTCATTGTCTTTTTTTTTTTTTGTTATCACACTTAATGGTTATCATTTTTTTTTAATAAAAAGTTATACAATGGTTAAATTATCCGTACCGTTTTCCTGAATAGCAAAATTAATATCTTCTACTTGTAATCGATACAATAAGCTTCCGTTTAAGCCTTCATCCGGATCCGTTGCAATTATTTTATCAAATGTTACACCAATATCAATTTTATCACTAAGTGTAAATGAATTTATCACTGGACATAGCGGTGAATTATCATTGACATCCAAAATTTTGATATGAATGTTTGTTTGAGATGAAAGTTGTGGCTAAAAAAATATTTTTACAATTAATCACATTTTTTAATTATTATTAACTCTCAAATTTTAGTTTATGATATAATTCTCATTTAATATTTACAGGTAATTTTATTGTCTACAATAAAAAATTTTTTAAAATTTTAATTTTGAAAATATTCACAATATTTTAATTTATAATTTTTTTTCTTCAAAAAAAAATTATATATTTTTAATTTATGATAATTTTGATTAAAAAAATTATGGTTGTTTAAGTTGAATATAGTAAGAAATCTTTTTTTTTTTTTTTAATTATAATTTTTTAAATATTCATGGTATTTTAATTTATTTCTTTTGAAAAATGAAATTGTTAAATATTTTTTCAAAAATGATATTCATTTTAATTTAACGAATTTCTAATATTATTATAAGTAAATTTAACTTTTTAAATATTAAAAAAAAAACACATAAAAATTTCACTTTTCCATTATCACTAGCAATAACAAATAAATGATATTCCGGAATCATTTCACGATCAAGTAATCCTTTCACAAAAATATTTCCGGTTACTGGATTAATGCCGAAATTATCATTTTCTTCACTGAATTGATACGAAATTCTAGCATTTTGTTCGCTATCTAAATCTTTTGCTTGAACTGTTAAAACATCAGTCATAAGTTGAGCATCTTCCGGTACCTAAAAATTTTCACCGATTTTTGAAGGATTAAAAAAAAAAAAATTATTAAAATCAAAAAAGAAGAAAAAACAATTACATCAAGAATAATCTTTAAAAGCAAACAAACAAAATAAATAAATAAAAAATCAAATTAAAAAAAAAAAACAAAGCACAAACTGAAAATTATTTCTTAATTATAAATTAAAAAATTTTTAAAATTAAATTGAAATAGCTAATATGCAAAAAACAATAAAAAAACAAAATTATTCATAAATTTTTCTCTTTTTTAAATGTTTTTATTTTTCAAAAATTTTATACATTAAATTAATATTTGATAAAAAATCATTTTTTCTATTAAATAATCATATCGAATAACTTACATCAACAAAATACATTTCTTCCTTGAATTCAGGTTTATTATCATTAATGTCGAGAATATTTACAATCACAGTGATATTAGATGAACGTGGCGGTATTCCGTCATCTTGCGCCTCTATTATTAACCAATATTTATTGATTAATTCAAAATCTAATTTAGTTTTAATATTAATTCACCACTTAATGGTTGAATTAAAATTGGACATTCTTCTGGTTTACTTTCCAGTAATGCATATTTCACATTGCCATTCTAAAAATTATTCTCAAATTACTTGTTTTTTTCTTCTTTTTTTTCTAAATTTTATAAATTGTTATTTAATAAAATAATTTATTATTTTTTGATAAATTATTTTTTAAAATTACATATTAAAAATTTTTCAATAAAACTATTTAAAATTATATATTAAAAATAAAAAACGAGAAAAAAAAATTGTTATCAAATTAATTTGATAAGAATTTGCGCAATAAAAATTAAAAGAAAAAAGAAAGAAACAAACTTAAAAATTATTATCTTTTATTTATTTGATTATTTTTGAAAAAAAAAATTAACTGATAACCTTTCCACGATCCTTATCATACGCTTGTACAGCAAAGAATGGCACATTTGTTGGATAATTTTCATAAACATATGATTCAATTTTATTTAATTCAAAAATTGGTGCATTATCATTGCTATCAGTTAATTTGATAAGAACTTGCGTATAATTCATTTCACCATTTTCCATTATTGCCTACAAAAATTATTATTATTTGATAATATTATCATTTGATATCAGTTAATTTTGATAACAATTTGCATATGTAAATAATTTAATAAAATTTAAATTACTAATTTACCTGTACATTAAGTAATAACTGTTCCCATTTATCAGCATCTAAATATTGAGCAATGCTAATTTGACCATTTTTAGCATTAATTGAAAAGAAATGATCCGGATCACCGGAATAAACATTATAATTTATCGGAAAGAATCCTTTAGCTTTAACCTGAAAAAAACAAATGAAAGAAAGAAAAAAAAAATTTTTAGAAAAAAGAAAAGATTAATTAAATTTTTTAAAATTAAAAAAAAATTTAAAAACAAAAATCTTTTTAAATTGCAAAAACTTACTTCACCGATTATTATACCTGGAAGAGTTCCTTCTAAAACATTAAATTCATACAATGCATTTGTAAATTGTGGTGTTAATATGGAATTACTGATAACACTGATATGAACAGTAGCCTAAAATTTAGAATTTTTTTTTTAAATTAACATAAAAAATAAAAGATAGTTAATTTTAACTTAAAAATAAAAGATGAATTTTCTAGTAAGTTATTTTATTATTCTTTTTCTTTTATAAATTATTAGATAAATTACAATGAATTACAAATTAATATTATTTTTTTCTTCCGGAAAATATTCTGAAAAAAAAAAAAAAAAACTGTAAAATATACTTTTTTCTCGCTAACTAATCCACTTCCATCAATAGCTTCCACTTTCAAATGATAATCTCTTTTTGATAATTTATTTTTTACATATAAGTGACCTGATTTTTCATCCAATCGAAAAGCATCCGTATCCGACTGACCGGTTTCAAATCGATAAGTTACCTGAAAGGAAAACAGAATTTAGAATTTTAAAAATGTTATTAAAATAAAATTTTGAAAATAGCATTAAAATAGAATTTGGAAATGACGTCAATTGCTTCATCCAAGTATTAAAGCAAATAAAATTCAATGAAAAGCACAAAATGCAATGGCAATTTAAAATCTATTAATATCTTTTTCACGTAAATCACGTTAAAATCTATTAATATCTTTTTCACGTAAATCACGTTAAAATCTATTAATATCCTTTTCACGTAAATCATGTTAAAATTACTAATATCTTTTTCACATTACCTTAAATATACTCGCTGATAAATACTCGAATATTTAAATGCTTTTGAAAATAGTTAACAAAAAATAATTTCTAATCTCTTATCATATCTTATCAATTCATTTTCTTCTCTTTTTTTTTTTTTTTGATAATAAAAATAATTTTACAAACCTTTCCATAAATTTCACTATCAGCATCATTAGCTGAAATTAGTACGAGTAAACTATTCAGTGCTATATTTTCTCGTATTGAAACGTTATATTGTTGCGTGTAAAATATTGGTAAATTATCATTTACGTCTTTCACGTGAATATTTACTAATGCTCGACTGAATCGTCCATCTAAAAGATAGCAAATTTTATTAATTTTTTTTCTTTTTATTAATTTATTTTATAACAATACTTTATGCAAATTAATTTAATTAATTAATTTCTTTTTTTTTTTTTTTTTTTGTAACCATCTGCAAAATATATTAAAAAGAAAAGCGCAATTGTCCTGTCTAAAGCTCATAAATCTCATTCGTAAGAAATGCATCATCCATCTGTCATTTTTGCTACTTATGCGGCAAAAGTATTTAAAAGATTGCATTTTGCGAGTATTATGCATAAATTATTTGTCTGTGCATTTTGAGAATTTCATTTACAATTAATTAAATGCCATCTGCTATCATTTGATGATGAGTAGTAGTAATACAGCGCTCATTGTGCGGCATGCAGTGTGCAGCATGCATGCTGCATTGCAAGAATATATTTGATAAATGAATAACAAATAGTATAGTATAATTTATGAAAAATACTCATTCTATACGTACTAAAATTGTTTACACTTAAATAACGTACGTGTAAACTACGTGTGTGATTGAATGTGTTATTGAAAGTATAACTTAAGCACTAACTTATATTATGAGCATAAACATGAAGCTGATAAATGGTGCATTGTTCATAATCAAGAATTGATTCGAGACATATTGTTCCGGATTGTGCATCAATTCGGAATGGTTCGTTAACCGGATCAGTTTTTGATAAACTGTACTGTACATTACTTTCATTGCCACAACTATTATTCGCTGTTACCTTAAAAACATTTACTATAAATCATTTCTAATTTTATTCAATAATTCCCCAAATTTTACTTTTTCCCTTTTATCACCATGGAAACGATTATTACATATTTTATTTCTTTCTCTCTCTCTCCCTCTCTCCCTGTCTCTCCCTTCCTCTCTGTTTAATTATTTTAAATTTTAACTTTTAGCAAAATAAAATTGATTTGAGTATCAAATAATCTACGTAGATTCTACAGATAAATAGATCAAAGATCAAATCATTAGATTAAAGATTAAATAATTTAAACTTTTATTAATTAAATTAAAATTTAACAGAAGGATGTCATTGAAATGTATGCCTTTGCTAATACTTAATATGGGCAGCGAAATGATTTTTATTTTGCAGCAACGTTTAAAGGTATTTTAATTTTTTTTTTTTTTTTAATAATTTTCATAAAAATTTATAAAATATTTTAAAAAAAACAGAAAAAAAAAATCTTTTTCTTTGACACTAATTTAAATATTGTAAAATTTTAAATTTTTTCACTAATCAATAAGACTGAAATTTTAGGAAGTAAAAATTTAAATTTTTGGATGTGAATTTGTTTTGTTTTAAATTTTTAGGCTCAAAATGTTGACAAAGAGAGGATGACACAAGTGCTACGAGATATTTCACATATTTTATTTAATACAATATTTTTAAAAGAATTATTTAAGCCACAATATATTTGTAGCAAACAAATTATGCGAATTTTTTTTGAAAAAATTATTCATTCAACCATTATGAGACTTGATGAAATGAGGTAATTGTAATTTATTACATTTTTTTTTTCATTTAATATTTGACAATTTTAATTTATTTTAATTAATGAAATGAAATAATTGAAATTTGTTGTATTTTCTTCATTTAATATTTGACAATTTTAATTTATTTTAATTAATGAAATGAAATAATTGAAATTTGTTGTATTTTTCCATTTAATATTTTGACAATTTAAAATTTTTTTAATTTAAAAAGTGAAATAATTAAAATTTGTTACATTTTCTTCATTTAAAATTTCACAATTTTAATTTATTTAAATAATAAAATGAAATAATTGAAATTTGTTGTATTTTTTTCATTTAGTATTTTACAATTTTAATTTATTTGAATTAATAAAATGAAATAATTGAAATTTGTTGTATTTTCTTCATTTAGTATTTTACAATTTTAATTTATTTAAATTAATAAAATGAAATAATTGAAATTTGTTGTATTTTTTCATTTAATATTTTGACAATTTAAAATTTTTTTAATTTAAGAAGTGAAATAATTAAAATTTATTACATTTTCTTCACTTAACACTCCTCAACTTCGAATTATTTTATTTTAAAAAAAAAAAAAAAAAAAGATAATTCTTTATTGATTAATAATCGTAACTTAACTATTTCAATTTTTCAATCTAATTTAATTCCTATTTCACTTTCTATTCATACTATGCAATTTAATTCATTTCATTCCATTTTTTTTTTAAAAAGTATGGATAAATTATATGCATTGATGACAATGACATACAAATATCAACTTCAACTTTGCAATGGACCTGAAAATATTCTCTTCATTACGCTTAATCATTTTGATTGCGTCCGTCAAATTTTACGTGATGATCAAAAATTAAATCAATTCTTGGACGTAGCTCATCGAATGGTTTTTATTCATTTTTTTTTTTATTGTTGAAAAGAAATAAAAAAAAATGAAATAAGTTAAAAGTAATTTTAAAAAATAATATTAATTAATTGATAAATTAAAATAAAATAAAACTTTCCTTTTTTATATTCATATGTAAAAAAAAAATAAAATTCTTAAATTACAAAATATTATCATAATGTGATAATGATGATTAATAATTATATGATAATAAATTTAATTATATTATTATTATTATTCAATTCTAAATTATTTCACTAATTTTAGGTTATTCTAACTTATCATAAAATTGCACTCTGGGAGCAAGCAATGATTCGAAGTTGTTTGTTAAATTTTTTTCAGGTTTGAATAAAATAATAATAAAAATAATTAGCAATATGAGTATTTTAATTAATTCAAATATAATTAATTCGATATTCAATAATACTTTTAATCGATACTTGATCGATTATTTATATATATATTTTACAAATGAAATTAATAGCAATGAATTATTAATTTCGATCTAATGAAATGAAAAATTTTTCAATTTCATATTATTTTATTATTTTTTTATTTAAATATTTTATTATCTCTTGATTTAAATGAATTAATTTTTATTTTAAGGATTTACGTGTGAATATATCATTGTTCGTACGTGAAAATAAGCAAACGGATGACGGACGTTTTATTCTTTTTCCGGAAACAAATTATCAATTACCCTACAATGGTAAACCACCTGGAATGATCAAATATTTTGACAGCGACGGAAAAACTTTTTCGGAATCGTTCATAACCGATGATAATGTCATTTCATATAAGCCATGCATCACAAAGGTTAAACTTTTAATTTTTTTAAATTTTATTTTGAAAAATTGAAATGAAATGAATAATTTTAATTTAAAAACTGTTAATAAAAGTTATTAATATTAAAATGTTATAATAATTTTTGAGCATTTTTAGGTTAATTTATTCAATTTTTACTGATTATGCATAAAAAGTTATAGTTATTATATTTTATGAAAAAGTTATAGTTATTATTTTATTTTATGCAAAAATTTATGAAAAAAACATTTTAGGAAAAAAAAAATAATAGGAAAAAAATTACTATCATTATGTTATGCTTAAATTAATTTTATACTAATTTAATTTAATTATGCCTAAATTAATTTTATGCTAATTTAACTATTAATTATTTCAGGGAAGCATAGAATTGAATATGAATGATAGAGGTACAACATTAGGTTGCAATATGTATGTGTCACCAGAAACTTTACAGGTTGTTGTTGTTTTCTTTTCTCGAAATTTTATTAAAATTTAAATTTGAAAAGATGAAAAGAAAAAAAAGAATTGAATGAAATTTCTACTAATAGAAATAATCTGTTATACAATACTGTTCTTTTATCATAATAAAAAAGATTTAATTGTGATATTTTATTTAATTAAATAAATGATAGTAAATTTAAATTTCAATCAAAATAAATTTTTAGTGAATTTAAATTTTACTCCTAACAAATTTTTAATGAATTTAAATTTTACTCAAATAAATTTGTCTCTTTTATTTTAGCAATGTCTAAATTTCAGGTAAAAAATGATGGAATAATAATGAAATCTGAGAATCCATTACCAGATGATGAGTTACAACTATTATCAGCACTAATTATCAGTCCTCAACAAAATCAACAAAAAGGTTTTTCCTCTTTGCAAAATTTTAAATAATTTAAAAAAAAAAAAAAAGAAGAATTGAATTTACAGACAATGTTGTAAAGTGTAATAATTTCTATGAATTATACAATTTTTTAAATTTAGAAACAATTAATAATTTGTCTGTTCTCATTTTTTTTGAGTTTTTTTTTAAATTAAATTTTAAAATTTAAGGATTTGAATTGAGTTTATTTACGGATGAAATGGAGGAACAAACATTTCTGCAAGAATGTAATAAAACAATCACAACAATAACTCATATCGATGCTCGAAAACATCGTAAAACAATTACTGCAGCAATTGCTGATGTAAAAACATAAAAAAAAATTTTTTTCTTGTTTTATTAAATTTCAAAAATTTAAATTAAAAATTTTTTTTTCAATTTCTAAAAATGAAAAAAGTTTTATACCTTTTTTTTTCCCTTTTTTATTACTTTTATTTGCTATCAAAATTTTTACGATGTTTTTATTTGTATGATTTAACCTTGAAATTAGTTTTTTATAAATAGATTTAACTGTTTTTTTTTTTTATAGCAGATGACCTATTTTTTTTTTAAATGAAATTGAAATTTACATAAAGTATTAGAATGGATTATTTTCTAAAGATTAAATCTTTTTTTTTTTTTGATCATTACTTATTTCTTTTATCTTTGTCCCTAGAAATAGCTAATTGAAATGAGAGATTATCAGAGATAAATTCCATTGAGAAATTATTTGATGGTGATGGCAATGAATAGTGTCGCTTATTGTCAAGGACACATTTAAATGTCACATCCTCAATACTACTCAAATCTATTATCGCTTAAAGAAGAAAGATTGTTCACTCAATCTAAAATTGTCAACTTTTAACAACATTAATTCATTTCATACTTTAAAGTAATACTAACTTTAACTTTGTTAACTATTTTTTTTTTTTTTTTTGTATGAGAAAAAAAAAATTGAATTGATTTTAAATGTGACATTTGTCATTTTCAAGATTATGGTGACACTACGACATTAGCATATTATTTCTTAATCTTTTATCTTTTCTTTAATATTTATTTGAAAATTTTGAAATATTTATTTCTAAAATTTATACAAATTAAAAAAGCAAAAAAAACTTAAGAAATTAAGAAAAATTTTTTAATTTTTTACTTAAGAAATTAAGAAAAATTTTTTAATTTTTTATCTCTTTCTCCTGAACTAAAAATTATAAAAAAAAAAAAAAAAAATAAGATGAAGCAGCAATCTAATAAATTTAAGATAGGAAAAATTTTTTTAAATTTTGTTACATCATCATGTTAATTTAAAAAAAAAAAAAAAAAACTTTAAAAATAAACTTTGAAATTTAAAATTTCTAATTTGTAATTATTTTTATCATTTATATCAAAATAAATTAATTTAAATTTTAATAAAAAAAAATTTTTCCTTTTTTTGAAAAAATGCAAAATTTCAGTTAAAAATGGAAATACCAGAAAAAGAATCGAAAAAAGGCGAAGAAATGCTAAATTTATTAGATGAAGCAGCAAATCGTTCAGATATATCAGCTAGAAATTCGACAAAGCAAATTGTTTCATCGTCAAAATAAAAAATTATTTAAATTATCAAAGTACTATTTTTTTCACAATGTCAAAGGTTAAGAACTTTAATAATTAAAATATATATATAATAATTTTTAATAAATAATAATTAAGAAATTTTCAAACAATGGAATGTATAAAATAATAATTTTATATTTGATAGTAATTTCTAAAATAACACCCCTGAAATGATAACTTTATAATGCTAAAAGTAAGAGTAATTTAAAGTAATTGTATATTTTAAAAGGTTTAGTTTCATGATTGAAGCTTAAAGGTAAAATCATATTTGAGGCTTTAATTAATTTAAAATTAAATTTCTAATCAAGTTCACTAAAAGGCATTGAAGCGGAAGTTCATTAGCGTGACATCAATTTATTCTTGCTAAATGACTAAATAATAAATCATTAAAGGTGGATTATAAAGTAATTCTAATTTTAATATCTTTTTCAAAAATTAAAAAGTTTTTCAATTAATTGATTAAAAGTTAATAACAATTTTAGCATTTTCAAATTTTTTTTTTTTTTGTCAATAAAAAAAATATTTTTTCTTTTTTTTTTTATGCATTTAAAAGAAATAATTTGAAAGTTAAGTAAAAGTAATTATTTATTTATTTTTTTTTCCTTCAGATGAATCATACACAAAAATAATTTACTGTCTTATCACTAATCATAAATACATTTATCATTATTATCAGTACTATTTGTTAAAAAGAATTTTTAGTTAATTTCTTTCAACGAATTATTTCAATTTTCTTTTTTTTTTTGAAATTTTTTCCTTTTTGATTATTTTATAACATTTTCAAAAAAAAAAAAAAAAAAAATGAAATGAAATATTTCTACTTTCTAATCATTAAGAATGAATTAAATGTTTATCTGATCTAAACAAATTTTGTTTACAATAATTTTTATTGTCACCCTTTTCCCTTTCTCTCTCTCTCTCTCTCTCTCTCTCTCTCTTCTTTTTGCCATGTCATCCTTCTATGACAAATTATTTAAAATTACATAAATAATCCATAATTATGCATTATTACATGTAACTATTGAATAAATTTAAATTGTTGCAAAAAAATTTCTTATAAATTTTATTAAAATTTTGCATAAAATTTTGTGACATTTGAATAGAATGCACTGAAATGACTTATTAATTCCATTGCACTGCACAATGTATTAAGGAATAATTATTAAAATGAATGTGAAATAGTAATAATAATAACAATAATAATAATAATAGCAATAATAATAATAATAATAATAATAGCAATAATAATAATAATAAAGTAGAGAAAGTAAAGTGTGAATCCCTGTTTTAGTAAAAAGAGTCAATGACCTTAGCAATATATTCTTTTCAAACTTAAGTTTCATCTATCTCTGTATCTGTTCCAGTTGTCACATCATGTCACATATGTTTACCACACTTATTTCTGAGAAGTAATAGTTGAATACAAAGTCATACAATTCTTTCCTTTCCATTTTCAATAAATATATATATGTATAATTATTTTTAAAAATGAAATAAGTGACCTGATTAGATGGTACCATATGATGGGATTATTTTGAAAATGAAATAAATGACCCAAAAATGACCCCAATTGATTGACTTTCAAATTAATTTATATTTAATATATCACTGTGCTTCTTAGATGCTTAAAAAGAATTAAACAACAATCATAAATTATGGGATTACTTTTAGTAAAGTAAATATTTCAATATTTTATATTGATTACTACTAACGAATAATGAAATTGCAAATAGGAAAAATGTCAACAATTTGTCAAATGTAAATAAGCAAAAGTAGATGATCGGTTGATCTAAGCTTAACAGCTCAACCCAAACAAATGCTACTTTAATAAATTTCTAAATTAAGTTTATTTAACTAATTCCTTATATAAACAGCTACCAAATAAATATTAGATTATAGTTTAAAAGTTTCAATGGACAATTGAATTGTTTGGAAGATTTAAATGATTATTCATTCACTTGTATTCAAAATAAAAAATGAAAATTTTAGCAGTAATTAATTACTTATATAAACAGCTACCAAATTTTAGATTATAATTTAAAAATTAAATAAAAAAACTGAACTATTTTAAAACATTTCAAATGATTATTCATTCATATAATCAAAATGTATAATTTAAAAAACTGAATGTGAGAATATTGAATTTAAAATATTTTTAAAATATATTTAAAATTGAAAATTATGTAGCATTCAGTATAATTACCATTTAATTTTTAATGAATTTATCATTTTAAACAAATATAATTCTTTTCAAAATGTATTGTAACATTTAGGTAAAACGAAGAATTTTTGATCTTTTGTCATAAAAAAAAATTAAAACGATTAATTAATTAATTAAATTCTCTTCTTCAATTCAATAAAATCCTATTTTCCACTTCCGTTTCACTTACACTTCTTTTTCATTCTTAAACGAATGTTTATTACTATATTTGTTGACATACAGTTTAAAAAAAAAAAAAAAAAAAACTCAACATGAAATTGAATTTGGATTACACTTCAAATAATTAAAAACTTGTTTTAATTAATTTTTAATTGTAAACCATTTAATTTCCAATTAATTTATCATCAAAATTTCTTCTCTTTCATTCAACGAAATATTACACTAAATGAAAAGAAAACGAAAAAAAAAAAAAAGAAATGAAAGAAAAAAGAAGCTAATAGTATTATACGCTTATCAATTTATAATAAATTCAAGTATTCAAGTATTTAAGTATCAATTTAAATTTATATAATACATTTATTTCACTTTCTTATTCTTTCTTTTTTTTTTTATTTGTTACATTAAATCCATGCCTTTTTTTTTTATTAAAAATCAATTCGTTTATTATTTTGCGCACATTTCTTTTTTTTTTTTATCATTTCTTTTTCTACTTTTTTTTTTTTTTTGAATTTGATAAATAAGAAATGATAAAATGACCTTGAGAAGACAAGTGCCTGATTCGATATCCTCTCCAATGGTCACATCATATAACGGTTTTGTAAACAAAGGCGGTTGACCATTACTATCAATTATTTCAGCAATAACATCAACAGTTGTTGATAACGATGGTGTGCCAAAATCTTTGGCGCAAACACGAAAATGATATTCTCGATTTAGTAAACAATCAAACTGTAAACAATTTAATTCTTTTTTTAAAAAAAAAAGGTAGTAAAAATTGAAATACATATATAATTGTTAAATATAAAATATAATTATTAAAATAATTTGAAATTTATTTTGATATAAACAAATTAATTAATAATATAAAAATAGTATGTTTAAAAAATTATAAAAGAATGTAACATTTAAATTTAAAAAAAAAAACCTTTTTTGAACAATCAAAAAAAAAAAGTTAATAAAAATTATATGAAATATAATTGTTAAAAGAATTTGAAATTTATTTTGATATAAACAAATTAATTAGTGTAATTAATGATGTAAGTTTAAAAATTTCTAAAAGAAAGAAAGTGGAAGAGAAAAAAAAAAGGACAAACATTTTCATGAATGCTAAGAATACCGGTATCAGATTCAATTTTGAATTGATTTGTACCGGAAAGACTATAATTTATTCGTCCGTTTTTACCGCTATCCAAATCGGTCGCATGAATTCGTATTAATTTAAATTGTGTTGTAGATTGATTAAATATCACATGAATTGGTGATTTGTCAAATTTAGGTGCATTATCATTAACATCAAGTATCTAAAAATTATTTTTTATTATTTTTTCTTTAAATGAAATTTTAATCTAAAAATCTTATATATATATTCCATTTAAATAATATATTAAATCAGTTAGAACTAAAATTTACAAAAATTTCTAGAAAAATGATTAAAAAATTTATGAGCAAAAAAAAAAAGAAGAAGAAATATCAAATAAATCAAGAAATCTTATAAAAAAAAACCCACTTAAATTGTATGTTAAATTAATTAAAATTAAAATTAACAAATTTTCATAAAAAAAATATTAAAAAAATTATCTGAAAAAGATAAAAAAAAAGTACCAAATAAATCTAGAAATCTTATACAAATCCATTTAAATTATACGTTAAATTAATTAAAATTAAAATTTAATTTATGCAAAAAAAAAAAAATCAAAAAAATTTACCTCAAGAAATACCGGAATCTCTAATAATTGTTTCCCGTATGATTTCACCGTAAACAATAAATTATATTTAGATTTTTGCTCTCGATCAAATGATCCACATGCAATCATTAAGTAAACATCCAATGAATCAGTTTCTTTAATACATAATGCATCACATCCATTTACAAATAATTCACTATAATTTTAAAATTAATTAATTTTAAAATTCATTTTAAAATAATTTTAAAAAAATTTTCCACCCAATGAATATTTTCATTTATTTTATTAAAAATTTTAATTGAAATAAAACATGAAGGAATAAACATAAAAGAAAAAAGAAAATGTCAAATAATTTTACTCTTTTTTATATATTTAAATTTTTTTTAAATTAAAAAAAAAAAAAATTTCTGCACAAATTGTACAAACCTTTTTTGCGGTGCATTTTGTACAGTAATCCGAGCAATAACATATCCTACTGTAATATTTTCATAAATTTCCGGTTGATTATTATCAGTAAGCCAAATGATATCAAAGTTAATCTTTGATTGATTACTCTTTTCAATTGTTATTGTAAGAAAAGTTGTTGATTCAAGTGGTTGTGGTAATCCATGATCATTTGCAATAATTAAAAGTTGATAAATTGAACCAGGAATGAGAAGTGCTGGATCAGTTACTCGTACTATACCACTTTCACCATCAATTTCAAATGGAAGTTTTAAATCAGAATGACTCTATAAACAAAAAAAAAAAATTTTAAATCAAATATATTTTTTAAAAATAATATTAAAAACATTTTTTAGTTCTTTTTTTTTTAGAGAAAAAAATAAATGATTAAAAAGAAAAAGAAATTAGGTAAAATAAAAATAATAGAAAAAATTAAAAGAATAAAAAATGAATTTATTAAACTATTTTTTTTTTTGTTTTTGACCTTTGCAATTGAGTAAGCTATTCGAGCATTTTCACCAAGGTCAAAATCTATGGCATAAACAGCTGCAACAATATCATTCATTGATACATTCAATGGGACAAAAGCGCCATATTCAGTTTGATTAAATTCTGGCGCATTATCATTTGCATCAAGAATTGTAACATTTACAAGCATTGTACCACTACTAAAATATCATTGAATAATTAATTATTAAAATTGATCAAATTTTAATTGATCCAAATTTAATTAATCAAATTTTAATTGATCAAATTTTAATTGATCATTATTTCATTCAAATTAGTTTTAACTTTTGCTGCTTTCATTTCATTCACTAAGATTTTGCTTTTTTTTTCTATTTTCTTATCATGTTTAGAGAAAATACTGAATAATCAATTATTTAAATAACCAATTACTGATAATCTGATTAATCAATCACTGAATAATCAAAATATTATGTTTAGGGAAAATATTGAGTAATCAATTATCTGAATAATCAATTACTGATAAATAATCAATCATTGAATAATCAAAATATCATATTTAGGGATAATATTTCAATCTAATTTTATTTGATCAGTATTTTATCTGACTTTCATTGTTTCTCTCCTTTTTTTTTTTTTGATTAACTAAAATTTTATTTTTGCTATTTTCTTATCACAACATATATTATGTTTAGACAATGCACAGAGTTATTCTTTTGTTCTCTTTTTTTTTTTTTAGAAAAATAATTTTTTAAAATTTGTAACGATTGATTGTTTTAATTTTATTTTTCCTTTAATCTATTCTCATTTTTCTTTCACATCTTTTAACATTAATTTCACTAAGATTTTTTTGTGCTTTAATAATAATATTTATATTTTGCAAAAAATTTTTCACTTTTAATAGCAAATAATTTAATAAATAATTTTGATGAAAAAAAAAACTCTTTTACTATGAAATAAAGCTAATCAATCAATAGAAAATATTTGATATTTTGCTAGAAATTTAATTAAAAACTTTTACTAAAAACATTTAATTATTATTTATGCTAATTTTTTTTTTTTTAAATTTACAAAAAAAATTTTGAAAAGAAAAAAAAATTAATAATACTTTGGTGGATTGCCACCATCTAATGCTTCAATAAGTAATTCATATTGGCTGCGATATTCTCGATCTAATTGTCCATTTACAATCAAATCAACATATAATTTTGAATTGATTCGTTTACTTGATAATCTTAAATTAAAAAATTAATAAATTATTAAATTACTAATATTTTTATACTGAATGACTGATAAAGTATATTTCAAAACATTTCAAAATTACTAACAATTACTCATTCATACTTAAATTTTGCATTTGATAAAATAGTAAATAAATTTATGGCTAAATTTAACAAAAGGAAATTTCATTTTCAATCATAAATCTTTTTCTTTAATTTTTTTTTTATTTTATCATTTCTCATAGCAAAAAAAAAAAAAAAAAAAAAGGTGAAATTTAGATTAAAAATATTTAAATATAATACTTGAATGCATTATTGACATTTCCGGATAAGATATGATACCGGATTACTGATAACGGAGGCGAATCATTATCCACTGCTGGTGGTAATGAAATTTCCGAATTTAATGCAGCAAATTCAGAAATAGACACCTAAAAAATTTTGTACTTTTTCTTTTTTCCTTCTCAAAACATATAATTAAATAAATTGTTAAATTTATTGATACCGTTGTAAAAAAAAAAAAAAAAATTTGTAAATAAAAATTAAATTAAATGTAGTAAAATTACATTAACAGTTTTATATTTTATTTTGTTGTTTAGTAAATTTGAAAATTTGAAATTTTCCTTTTCATATAATTTAGTAATAATGTCTTTTGTCCTATTTACAACAAAATATATTTTTCATTGGAGTAGAAAAATATCCAACTGTGACAATCACTTTTCCTTCCTTCCAGGACATAAATGTCACCTTGTCCGGTGGTGTGTCACCTCTTCCGCCCTTTTTTTTATTGTTGAATGTGGGAACGAACGGTTATTTCATTACATTATGTTCAATTTTTCTCTTTTTTTTTTGTTTCAATTTGAAAAATTTTTCACATACCGAAATGAATTTTAATAAAAAGGAAAAAAGCGAGAGAGAGAGAGAGAGAGGGGAGAGAAAGAAAGAAAATTATTAATATTACAATAAAAAGATTTCTTTACTTTATTCAATTTATTAAAATTTTAACAAATATTCAATTTTCTTTTTCTTTTTTTTTTAATTCAATTATCAAAATTTTAACAAATATTCAAATTAGTAAACAATTTACTTGTATAAATGTAAAATTAAACGTACAAATTAATAAATTACAAAAAAAAAAAAAAATTTTTTTCCATTTATGAAAAGTTTACAAATTAAGCTAAATACTTCTTTTTTTTCCATTTCATTTTATCATTCATTTATAAGTTGAAATTAAAATTTATGTCTTGAAAATTTCATTAATTGAATTCAAAAAATGATAAACATCGATGTTACAGTAATTTTATAAAAGTGACATTTTACTATGACAGTAGAGCAAAAAGCTTTTTTCTTTGAATTCAATTAAAATGAGGTCAAATGCATATACTTCCGCTGGAAAGATTGAATCATTATTTGAAAATGGAAAATTTTTATTTTTTTTAATTTATTTATTTACTTTTTTTTTTTTTTTGTTTTTATTTTATTTCATTTTGAACAAAAATTTAACTGCAAACAAATTTTATATCTTTATATTTTCCATCATTAAAAATTGAAAAAAAAAGATGCGGAATTTCGATTTAAATTTTACATAGAAATAATTTGAGAAATTTTTTTTTTCAATTTAAAAAAAAAATAACAGAATTTATAGTTTATCAATTTTTTGATTACTTACAATTTAATTTAATTTCTATTCCTTGCAATTAGTATAATTAAATAAATTAATTTTTAATGGTTATTTGAATGGCAATGGTGAGTTATTATGATTTATAAAATATTTTTGATTTGACTAATTTTTGTTTTTCTTTTTTTAAATTAACTTTTTTTTTTTCGTTGAAAATAAACCATTACCAAAATTGCTGAATAATAAACGTAATTTAAGATTAAAATTTGATTGCTTGGAAAGATGAAAAAAAAAAATATTTTTGTAATTTACTTAGAAGAAAATTTGTTATTTGTGATAAGAAAATTCGATTATAAACTTATATTGCATAATTTATTTTTTTAAATTTTTATTTAAATTCATTTGTTTAATTTCGATTGATTAATTTTTTTTTAATTAATTTTGCAAATGAATGATTAAAAAGTCAGTCGAAGAAGTCCGAAAAGTTAACGTAATGTTAGCATAGTTAACGTAAATTAACGTAATGTTAACATAGTTAACGTAAATTAACGTAATGTTGGCATAGTTAGCGCAAATTAACGTAATACTAGCATAGTTAACGTAAATTAACGTAATGTTAGCCTAGTTAACGTTATGTTAGCATAGTTAACGTAAATTAACGTAATGTCATTTAATAAAGTAAAACGTACGTCAATCGAAGAAACTGGAAAAGTTGGTGTGTTATCATTTTCATCAATAACATTCACTATAACATGAATTGCTTCTTCTTGTTGTGGACGATTTATGGGTACAGCAATTAGATGATATGAAGTACGTCGTTCGTAATCCAATTCACGTAACACACGTATTTCACCACTTACTTCCTCCACAGCCAAATACTACAATTAAAGCAAATATTAACACGTAATTCACACGTCAATTTGAATCTTTCGATGAAATTACTTTAAAATTTACAAATGATTTAAAGAATGAAATTAATAAAGTATCAATCATTCATTTATATTTAACTTTCAAAAAATTCCCAATTAGAGCAAATGATAAATGATAAATGATAAGTGTTAATCATCTTTTAATACTCGGAAAAAGAAAAAAAATTTCGTTGGAAAAAAAAATGAAAATTCTTTTTCAATTTATTTTTGTCATTTTTTCTGCTTGCTAACTTATCTTTCAAATAGTATTAAATTTTTTTCATCAATTTTTAGCTTCTTTGAAAAAAAAAAAAAATTGCAAATTTAATTTTAGTTAAATGTACTTCGCAGCACTTTTCTTAAAAAGATTGCAATGTTCTTTTGAGAAATGAAACTAAAATTTATTTATTGATTGTTTCAGTAAAATTTAGAGTAATTCGAAGTTTAAATTTGAATTCTTTGCAGAGAAAAGCCTTTTTTTTTTAATTTCTCTCTTTAAAAAACGAATATTTTAATGAAGAAATGATTAAATTAAAAAAGTGATAAAATGAAATTTATTCAAAAAAATATGATTGAAAAAAATAATATGAAAAAGTTTAAAATAAAAAAGTTTTTTTTTTGAATGAAAGTTTCATTCATTATATCACCCATAGCGCTTTTTTGAAAGTTTTAAATTTTTTTAAATTTAATACTTTTTGTTTTCTTGTTGAAAATTTATAACATTAGCAAATGAAATGAAAAATTAAAATGTTTACTAAGTATTTTAATTGTTTAACAATAATGGTAGCACATTTTCGATGAATGATGGATGCATCGATGACCTTATAAATTAACTAATTTCAATCCATTTAACCTCTATTTATAATTAATTTATCATCTAGTTATGAATATTTAAATTTTCAATTTATTTAAATTACTACAAATTATTATAAATTTTAAAATTTTGATGAAAAAAAAAATTGGAATTTTTCACAATTAAAAAAAGAGCAAATTATCGATTACAGTATGCTTATAACCTAATTTAATTTTAAAAAAAAAAGAAAAGAAAAGTTATGTTAAAAACAAAAATTCAACATTAAAATGGAATTTTGATTTTTTTAAAAATATTTTTTAATATTAATTTGTTATGCATTTTACATTTTTTCTTTTTTTTTTTTTTGTTTAAAAATTTGAACTAAAATGAAATATTTAATGCATAATGTTTAAAAAGAAAATTTTTATTAGTAAATTTAACACTTCAAAAAAGTTTACTATCAAAAACAACAATTCAACATTGAAATGGATTTTTGATTTTCTTTTTAATATTCTCTTTTTTAATAACATTTTATAAATTTTATACGCATTTCAAATTTCTCTTTTAAAACACTAAACTAAACTGAAATATTCAATTTATAATGCTTAAATGAAAATTTTTTTCAGCAAATTTTACACTTCAAAAAAGTTTAATATCAAAAAAAAAAGCAAACAAACAAAAATCAACATTGGAACGGAATATCTTTTAATAATATTCATATAAATTTGTTATACAATTTTAGAATTTTTTTTAAAGAAAAAAAAAATTTAAACCAAAATGAAATATTTAATTTTATTTTAATAACTTACTTTTTCGGTTTCACTACTATTATCAGATATCTTTTAATATTACCTTATAAATTTATTATACAATTTTAAATTTAAAAAAAAAATTTAAACCAAAATGAAATATTTAATTTTATTTATTCGTATATACTTTATAACTGTTAATAACTTACTTTTTCGGTTTCACCACTATTATCCGAATAAACAATATAAAAATTTGCTTGAATACCATCTGATGAAGTACCATTAATATATCCAATAATATATCCAAGTGATGCTCGTTCAGAAACATTAAATATTCTTTGTTGTTCACATTTGATACTTTTCAGACTAATAATAATTATTATCAATAATTGATTTATATACATTCGGATAATTTAGTAAATATTGGAGAATTATTATAGGAAATGGATCGTTTTTATTTATAGGTTAAACCCGAGGTCATCAATAAGGTCATCATCATTCATATCATATTATAGTCTGTCTAAAAGATAACTATCATTAGTATAAATGATAATGATCAGTAAGATATCATTTTTGATTCGATCCGCATTAACATGCATATATTACATCGGCATTAATACTTTGATGTTCTTTCTTCTTTTTTTTTTTGCAAAGGTCATTTTAAAATGATTTAAAAAGACATTTTGAGTAAATAGGATTTTTTCTTTCTTCCTTTTTTTCTAATTTTTAGCAAAAAATTATTCAAATATTTCTTATTTAAAAAAAAAAAAAATGATTTGAAAATTTTTATTCATTTCCTGAAAATATAATAATTTAACAATGTTTAATATATTTTTAAAATAATAAACGAAATTCAACAAATTAAATTAAAATTTAAAGAATTAATAACTGTTTATTTTAAAATCACTTTATACTATTATTAGTAACATTATTTTTTTTTTTGTTTTTCACAAACTATAAGTAATAATTAAAAAGTTTTATTTCTTTATGAAAATTTAAAATTAAACAGCGCTACTTTTATTTATAACAATATTCAGAGAATATTTTAAAGGAACAATTTTAAAAAAAAGGAAATGGATAGTATCGGTATCAGTAAAATTACTTTGACATATAATGATAGGGTATCAAAAATGTTAGACATTCAATTTTTGTATTTGTTAAAAAAAAAAAAAAAAAACAGGTTTATTTGAAAAAAAAAAAAAGAAGTATCATTTACAAATAAAATGTTCGCTTGAATTATACATAAAATATTTTTTAAAATTTTTCGAAATATTTTAGAAATTGTGAAAATTTTTCAATTTTTTTTTCGTACATTTAATTTTTATCGCTTCTTGAGTTTTGTTAATTTTAAAAAACAGAAAAAAATTCTTTTTAAAAAAATTTTTTCGTAATTGAATCAGAAATATTATTTGGATGAAAAAATTAACAAAAATTATTCTTTCGTTTTTTTTTTTTTTTTATTAATTATAAAAAATTAAAATGAAGTTTTGGTGATAAAAAAATTAACTGAATGTTATCTATTCTAATAATTATTTCATTCATTGAACCATTTGAAATTTTGTTGGATTATGATGAGATAAGATAAGATATGATAAGATAAACTATGAATACTTTTGCTATTCCGAATGGCTAATTGAAAAACGAAAAAGTAATATTTTTAATGTTAAAAGCAAAATGAAATTTTCAGTTTAATTTGTACTAAATTTAAAACTTTGTTGAATTAATGAAAAATAAATTGGCTTTGAATCTATCTGCTCAACAATGTTAAACGTTTAATTTGTTTCATTTTGAAAAAAAAAAAAAAAAAATGAACTCTTTTTCCTTTTTCACTAAAAAATTAAAAGCTAAAAGGTATTAGAAAAAGTCAATCAACGAATTTAAAGTTTTGTAAATTTAACCTGAAAGATAGCTTTATCAACTTAACCTGTAAGGTAGCTTTATGAATTTAACCCGAAAAGATAGCTTTATGAATTTAACCTGAAAGATAGCTTTATCAACTTAACCTGTAAGGTAGCTTTATGAATTTAACCCGAAAAGATAGCTTTATGAATTTAACCTGAAAGGTAGCTTTATGAATTTGACCTGAAAAGTAGGTTAATTCAACCTGAAAGATAGCTCTATGAATTTAATCTGAAAGATAGCTTTATCAACTTAACCTGAAAGGTAGCTTTATGAATTTGACCTGAAAAGTAAGTTAATTCAACCTGAAAGATAGCTCTATGAATTTAATCTGAAAGATAGCTTTATCAACTTAACCTGAAAGGTAGCTTTATGAATTTAACCCGAAAAGCAGGTTAATTCAACCTGAAAGGTAACTTTATGAATTTAACCTGTAAGGTAGCTTTACGGATTTAACCTAAAAGATATGTCAAAAGAAATGTTTTTATTGCTTTCAAGAGATCACATACAATGAAATGAAATTTTGCAGCTTTGAAATGATGTTGACAATGAGAGAGGTAGAAAAATGAAATGTTGTTGAAAAAAGTAATTATAGTGAAAAATAGCTGAACGGGAATGGATGAGTAAAATTTAAAAGACTTTTGAAGTATCTGAAAAGTGCCATTTGAAAAGCATTCATTCATCCGTTTTCAATAAAAGAAAGAAGAATGAATGAAAGAAAAGTACCGAAAGTTAATAATTATCAAATTACATTAAACATAATTTTCATTTTTTTAAAATAACTATATTATTTCAATAAAAATAATTAATTATTAAAATTATTGATAATAAATTATATTATCATTTGTTATCATTGATAATATTAATAAATTCAAAATATATGAAAAATTCATTTTATCTTTTAATTTGCTGTAAAATTTATCAGCAAGTCTAATTTAATACAAATTTCAATTTCATTTCTTTTAAATAAAAATGCATGCACGAAGAGATAATGTTAAAATGTGAAAAATTCAATTCATTTTTATTAACTTAAACTTCTTTTAAAGTATTAACTTAAAATTACAAACCTAACTATTATATAAGTAATTACTAAAATAATATAGCAAATATGAAATGATACAATATAAGTAATGTAAGTAATATTACTTAAATATTACTTGCATTACTTGTTATTATTTCTTAAAATTGTACTGCTTAAAAATAAACATAAAATATCAAAAATATAATTGTAATGCATTCACAGTAAACTAAATTAATAAAAATTATTTAAAAAAAAAATAAAACTTTTGAAAGAAAATCAAAAAAAAAAAGAAAAAATCAAAAGTTTTGAAAAATGAAGAAATTTTAGAAAAAATCATTGGTACCTAATAAAATTTAGTAAATTTCAAATGGATGCGACAACTATTACCATTTGGTCAATTCATCATCCATTTTATAATATTAAATGAGTTGTGGTTATACAGGGGTGACTCTAGAGTTATCCGCTATATTTGTCGCAGTTTTCTTGGGTCATCAAGAAATGGATTAAAGAGAGAGAGAGAGAGAGAGAGAGAGAGGGAAAGAGGGAAAGAAAGGGGACAAGGGTTGACAGCAAGAATGGGTGTGGTGTGTTAGTTAAATGGGAAGGAGAAAGGACATCACCGCCTTCATATCATCATAAAAATCGCCATTTGGGTTTAATTTGAAAAGAAGTTACCAAGTTACGACACTACTATTACCGCTAGTAACTCAATTTGTCCTTGATATTTTGAATAATAAAAAAAAAAAAAAATAATTTAAAACTTAAAAAATATTTTGTAAAAAGAAAAAATATCCTAAAATATTCAAATTGTAGTAGTAGTAGGAGTAGTAGTACGATTACTGATCGATTAATTTAATATAGTAATATAATGAAGGAAAATTATATTTATCAAAATCCATGAATTATATATGCAAATCCTTTTATAACATTTCCCTTCAAATTTTGCTTCTTCTCTTATTAATATGCTAAATAAAACAAGAGAGAGAGAGAGAGAGAGAGAGAGAGATTGATCATTTGTGATTTTTTAAAAAATTTATTTTTGAGAGATTGCTAACCATAAATGCTTTTTTTAAAAAAAAAAAAAACTTATGCTAAAGCATGAAAATAAAAGAAAAAAAAAACGAATTTTTGAAAAATAAAATGCATTTTGTTGAAATATCAAAAGTCAATTTTCTGAGTTATGTTTTCATTTTTCATTTTTTTTTTGTTTTCAACTGCAAAAATGAAAATTTTGATTGATATGAAGATTTCAACAAAAAAAAAAAAACTTCAAAAGACATCAACAAAAGGAGGAAGGATGAATTGATTCAACAAGCTATTCAAAAATAAACTTCCTTAAATAAAACAAGTAAATAAGCTTAAAAAAACAAAAACAAGAGAAGAAATAAATTAAATGAGGAAAAAAAAAATGTGATGTAATTGAGTAATAATTAAATTAGAATTTTACATGAAAAATAAGATATGCTAAAAAAATTTTATTCATATGTATTTAGAGTTAGATATGATAATAATGGATGGCAAATTAATTCTGTTAAGTTATTTCAATTAATTTTGAAATTGTAAAATTATTGAAATTATCAGCGATCAAATAATTTGCGCATACAAATTTTATTTTGGAAAATGCCAATGTGATTAATAATTTGCAATAAGAAAATTTACAAAATTTTGTCATATTTTTTCGAGAATAATCGAAATTGAACAAAAATTTTTGAATCAAAAAAAAAAAAAAGAAAATAATAATAGTAATAATAATTTAGATATTGAAAGTTTTTTTGAAATTTAATTCCTGCAATGATTTTAAATTCATTTCTAATAATATTTCAATGATATACTAATTTCTATTCGATTAAATTCATCTATGCAAAATCATTAATTTATTCGAACTTTTATTTATCCAAAAATAAAAAATTAAAATATTAATTCATATATTTCATATTGAACTAAATGTTAATTAATATCGTTTATTCTCAAATATCACATTCTTTTCGATTATTTATTATACAATATAAATTAATTTTATAAGTTATCACAATCTTTTTGAAATTAAATAAAAATTTATTAATTTGAAATTAAAAAATTTATTATTACATTTATTAGAAGTAATTGTTGAAAGATTTTTGATCCCTCTCTCTCTCTCTCTCTCTCTCAAAAATTTTTTAATAAACGTAATATTTTATCAATAACTTTTAATAAATAATAACAATATAATATCAATTAGTTAATCAATTTTTTTTTCCTTTAATTAATTGTCATTTCTTTTTTTCTTTCTTAAATATTATATAATTTCTTAAGTATTATATTAAATTCTTACAATTCTTTTTTTTTCCTTTTATAAATTTAATAATGTTTTATAAAATTTCAATTATTAAATGAATTAATTACTTGCCAATGTGCTACAAATATATTAACAATGTCAATTTGCGCTCATACAAATTGAAATGGTAGTAATAATTATTATTGATGTATAATTTGAAATGCATTTTT